TTAAAGTAAGCTCTTGCTCTGTGTCATCTTTTTAAAGTGAGAGGTTTGCTATTTGACTGCAATACTCTAATTTACTAATCTGTTATATTATCTTGTTAGTAACGATGTAAACTCTAAGCAAGTATCTCGTTTAAGCTAAGAATTGAAAGATTTTACTTGATGTTTACTACAATACCTTTCTTAAATTTTTAAAGGCAAAATGACAAAATATTACTTGTATAATAACTATTTGAGGCCTGTTATAATTTACATTAATTTCTAATAAATGATTTGGCATAATTATTTCCTTGGTAATATTCTACAGTAGTTGTTTCATTTTTACTATAAGACTTTTTTACTTGTTCAAGCAAAAATAGTAGGGATGGACAATATGCAAACTCAATGCCTGACAAACTAAAGTCGGTTAGTGATATTAGGGATTTAAAACGAAAGTTAAATTATTTCTTTTAGGACATAGTTTTTATAGCGTAAAAGATTATGTAAACTACAACTCAGCATAAATATGTTGTTTTTTGACATAATGTGTTTTTCTGTTATAGTGTGTATCTATGTAATTGCTTATTAGCCTATGTATTTTATTTCTAAATTGTGACGCAAGTCATGCATGTATATATGTTAACTGGCAATAAAGGAACTGTTATTTGATTTGAAAGGGTTAATGTATAATTCATTATTTATAATTAATTTTTTAATAGCCTAAAATGTTGGGTTTACCACCACTGGTTGGTTGTTGAGTTTTGTTATTTTGTATAAGTAATAAAAACCATGCAAAATCAGTAAACTTATAATTATCCAGGAAAACCACTTAAACTTAAGCGCAATCATCAGATTAATGGGTGTTTTAAAGAGTGTACCTTGTAGGCTAGTGCTTTTCAAAAGTAACTTTCAAGTTTCCACATCAGTGGTATTTTCGTAATTTGTAAAATTAAGGAATTGCAGAGCAAAGATTTTTGATCACCTCAGATTTTATGTGGATATGACGATATCTAATCCAGCCATTTAGCAAAGTCCAAGGCGCTAACCAGAAAAAACTAGAAACACACCCACTTACATATACAGGTGATTACGGATAAGGTTGAAACAGAGAATAGTTATTTGTGTAACTAGTGGGCGAAGTGGAACTTTTCTGCACACGAGAGAAATGTTTACATCACGACATTAAAGTTTCTCGAGTGCAGCAAAGGCAGATTACACTCGTGTTACATATTACATTTTTTCCTACAGTTACTTTACATTACATTAAATAATTAGTCTTTTAAACACTGTACAACACGTTTGTAGTTTAGGTTAAATCCAAACATTGAACGAAATCTGGGAAACGCTGCAACCAAACGACTGATCGTCAACGTAGTCGCAATATCTTTAAGTGTTGCCGACTTATTTCCAAGCGTACATTACGTAAATAATAAAAACATGTTGTTTTGTGTTGTTTATTTGGAATAATGGTGTGCGCCAAAGTAAAAACCGTGAGCCAAAGTAAGGCTTTCTGTACTATAATCTATGCAAGGAAGCCCACTTTGACGGATGACTGTAGGAAAAACTACTTTTTATAAGAAAATGTTTACAGTAACTGCAATATAAAATCCTATTAACAACTTTTATGCAATCCGGTCACAAACAACATTAGTTTTGTTAAGTTTGGTAGTTTATTGTTTGAAACTGTATTTAATCATTTCTAGCCGGAAGAACGATTAATCTGATAAAATAAATCTATGTGGAAACAGGAAACCATGACTTCCGTTGTACGGGAGGAAGCTCTTAGTTTGTAGCTAAACAAATTATAGAAGCACAGAGAGCTGATTCGAATTTATTGTTCAATACTCTCATTACTACAAACATGTCTTGCAACAGATATAGTTAAACAAAATGCTGGTTTTAAAATCGTTACGATTAAAATTAAGTATTTGTGTTAAATTGTGCATACACCACAAACCATGGTTATAGACTACTTTGCTGACGATTATTGGAATATAAGTTCTCAATTTTATTACACTGAAATAAATAATCTTAAATAAATCATATATTACATTGATTCAAAAGTACATCCTCATGATTAAGTTGAGGCATTGCATTTTAGATACTGAAGTAGACTAGACATCCAATTTATATGGACCAGCTGTTGCTAAATTTTTGCAACATAGTTCTGTGAACCAGAAACAGATTGCTATGGCGTACAAAATTCTATTTTCGACTTTTTTCGTTGATGAGATAGTTAGCGTGACATAAAATATGCTATATTTTACAATAAATCGTCCTACCTAGTTTTAACTTTGATAAAACGTCTGCATATTTTGAAAGAAATCAGTAATTTATATCAGCGCAATCCGTCGGTGGCTTAATTGTAACTACATTTATTTTGATCTAAAACTGATGACTTGTTTAACACAGGGATTGAATATAGTTTAGTTAATAGTATTAGTTTTTTTCATGTCCTAGGACGATAGGCAATGGCCCGGAATTGTTTTTCACATTACTTTATGCTAGACCTAGGGGTTACTGCGTTATCACTTAGATAAAATCCATTGGTGACTTGACGGGATTTGAGCCCGGGCCTCAGGGACTGAAGTTCCGCGCTCTAACCACTACACCAGCTCGCTCCCAAAGTTTTAGGACAGTTATAATTTAAGATTTGGATGTTTTAATGTGAATTCTAAGTACTCATAGAACTGTAGGTTTTAGATAAAATTTTAGATTAAGCCAGACTCATTATAAGGAGGAATTTATATATTGGACTCAAACGCAATGATTAATACGTATTATCATAGATAAAACATGCTCCTTGTGTTGGTTAGTCTACGGTATGATCATGACATATTGCAGGTGGTTCAAAAAGAAACTGCATTTTTAAAATTTGTAAATCCTCACTTATTGCACCTTGGGTTATAAATAAAATACAGCATACCGTCAAACATTACTGTACCTACATTTGTCATACTAGACCTATTAAATAACAAAACATTACAATATTACATACACAAGTCTTTTACTATGTGGAACTCATAATCATGAAATAAATCTTTTGAATGTGGTTTTAAAGTTAATTAATTTTTTAAAATTGTATTTTCCCAAAGGCAATTGAAGCTTTATCGGTATAAAATACAAACAATATAAGATCATTCAAGATTTGTACTGAAGGAAATCATACCATATTAAAGAAACGACATCCTTAACAGATTATCAATTTCGTCTTGTATTTTTTTTATCAAGGAGACCCTCAAAGTAATAATTATAGAGTACCGAAAATAAAATTTCATTTGTTCAGACGACAGCATTTTTCATTTAATGCAAAAACTGTGAATATTTGAGGTTAGGAATTGAAACACTGAACTTCCAATATCATGGAAACAGCGCTGTGGTTATTGACTGCTAGCAGAAACACAAGTTTTTGGCGAAAAACTGAAACATGCACCGGACAAAACCTGAACCTTGCCAAACCCTGAATTTCTGAAGGTAGCATTTCTGAAAATAATTTCTTCCCAAAAAGCTTCTAAAAACCACATAGAAAAAAATATTTGAAGCAACAGCAATACTGCACTCTCCTCCAAGTAATAACTAATGAACTTTAATACGTTGATCATTATTGGTGCAGATAGCGTATAATACGTTGCATAACCTAGATTGTTACTTACAGTTTCTTCCCTGTTATTGCATTACAAAATTATATTGATCAATCAGTTAATTGTATTGCTTGATATTTGTAGGCATCTGGTCTAGTTAAGCTCTGGGCTTCTGTTTCGAGCTTCAGTGTTCAAAAACTTCAAAAAATTACTATGTTATAATATTTTCTAGTGACTCAAAACCCACACTTAGCTAACTCTCTGTGTTACACCTATTTTATGTCCACTTATCTCTTAAACGAAAGGTAGCACTTTAAATCTAGGTTAGTTTCCATTGTAGGAGTGGCTCAGCGGAAAAAACACTTTAACTTAAACAATCATCCATATATTTCAGCTAAAATCCCAATAAATTTAAAAATACTATATATACAACATAATTCTACAAAGTCTTTTTAACGTTTGTAATATGCAGTTATGCTCAGTTAGTTATGACGTAATAAGGGGATTAAAAGCTTAAAAGTATGTAGTTTCTTTACTTTGATGTATTTCCTTTGGTTATCAAATCTGTCAAACCCAGCCGAAAGCCGTTAAAACACATCTTTGCGCAATTACAAAACCATGATTGGTTATTGATTTTTCTCCTCTTTTCTCTTTTTTAATTAGGAAATACCAAGATAAGCTTCTAATAATTTTATCTTTGTGGTTATATACTTGTTGAAGTTGTATTTGATCCGTTGTTTAGGATCTTTTAGGGCGTCAGCTAAAAATCATTGTTTTGAAATTTCAATGAAAGTATAGCTCAAACATGATATATTAACATGTATTTCATTGTAGCTTACTCAAAGCTCATTTTATTGTATTCCAAAAGTTCAACAGCACTTTGTCTTTACAAAATTCAACCAAAACTAAAGGTCATCAGCTTGTATTTTCGACTTGGAGCACTTAACAGTACATTATTCTATTTGACACTATTCTGTTCTGTATGTTTTAAAAACTTGACCATTTATGACCAAAAATGATTTTCAAATAGATCATACTAAAAATTACATTATATTGTATTTTTTACAATTACCATTATCTAAGCTTTAATTCTTGACGTTTTATTCAAAACTTCAGCACACATCATCTCTCTTTGCGAACAACACTCTCATAGATTTTTATCAGGGAAAACTTAATTTGTTTCCTTGGTATTTTGGTATTATATCAACCACGCCTAATAATTAAAACCTAACCTAACCAGGGTGGACTATGTTTTAGGTTACGAAGATTTTGTTTTTTAAACTTTTCAAAATCTTATTTCGAAGTCGATTTATCGGTGTGGTCGGTCTAATACCAAAGTACCGGTATATTTTACCTAATAATTAACATGAAGGTTTTTTTTTATATGCACTGTATGTTGTTAAACAATTCAACTAACATTTCAGAGACAAACTGGTTACTCACTGGTGTAGCCCTCGCCTGGTACGTATTTGTCCGGTGAGCCGCTGATCTTGAGCTGGAAGCGGTTGTCCGCCGGTATCTTGGGGGAGACATGACCCTCGGGGGTGCGATCACAGCGATGGCCCAGGGAGGAAGTGGTCAAGAGGAGGAGAAGAAGAATCACCCAGGGGCTGGTGGCAGTACCTCCTAGCATAATGTGCCTGAAACAAGCAGTAAAAGTTAACTCAGTTTCGTGCAGTGGAGGTTCAAATATATTTAAACATAACTCAATTTCTTCACAGTAATGCCGGGCACCCGTGAGCTCAGTATAGCTCAAATTAGGGTTTGGACACCATTTCCTAAAATGCTTTCGGTCTGCCTTCTTTGTAAATACCGTGAGAGAAGACAGTAAAAAAATATGAGTTAAAAATCATCTTATTGTACTGGGTTCTCTCAATATTCTTACAAAATGTAGGCAAATAATAGGAAATAACATGTAATATAAAATTATCTAACAAATGAAGGTCTATTAACTCCTGAACATCGTAGCTTCGTAGCTTCATTATGATGTCGTTGCAGTACAATACAAGATACCATAACATAAAATTCAATTACCAGATTAAACTAGGTTCAAAACTTGGTGAGGTGCATTTATTGGCTCTTATTCGATTGTAACATTAAAAATTAATTTCCCTACTGAATTACCCTAACGATAAAACATATAAAAATTAATTTCACTGTAACAAGTTACACAACCTACTGTTTGACTAGTAAACACTAAACACTATTAATATGTAGTTTAAACAAGTCATTAACACATAGGATCTTTGTATGATTTTCAATGGTTTGGTTTAGTTTTTCCTTGTTTTCATTATTATTTCCCCTGGTAAGCCAACACTTTGGTGTTAGAGCTATTATAGGGTTGAATTTGCACAATTCAAATACAAGAAACCATTGGAGCACCTTGTGCTTGTAAACTAGACATTGCTTTTTTAGACCATTCCCTACAATAACTTATCACTGCATTCAACCCCCCCCCCTCCTCCCACCCATGTGAGTTACACTATCTCATAGAACAAATCAGTAGTTTATGGCAAGTGATGTTTCATTATTTAACAAACAAAAAACATCTTTTTACTTTTGTAATCTTAGCCCTCATCCTTATGTTGCATTAAGCATTAGCCTCATGTTGGATCATTTTTTAAACGACTTGTCATAAAGTGTGATATGGGGTGAGTAAATGACAGCAGCAGTTTAAGGTGAAAGACCAAGCTTGGAGGCAAGGGAAATTGTCCGTGAACAGTCTATAATACAGTCTTGCAGGTCATCGCCCTAAAATGAAACTGTAGTTGAGATTTTATCCTCGGGTTTACAGATTGGTGTTTCTTATATTAAAAAATATTGTTGAAAGAATGTGAAATATTCATTTCTTATTAGTTTAATTGTGTGTGTGTGTAGTAAGAGGATGATTCTAATTTAACCTTCTAACAAGTTGAAATGTTATTGTCGTTTTAATTCATTGAAATTATATGATCAAAACTAGGTTCCTTTTATCTGCATTAGCTTATTATTTATTTTATTTTATTTTATTATTTTATTATTCATTCACTCTTATTTAAGTGAGACGTTAACATTTTATTGAACCTCGTTAGTTTACTAAAATGACTATTAATTGAAAAAATGTGAAATTGTTTATTCTACATTATTTTTATAGAATATTTTGGGAGTCAAATTTGTATACTACTATAATGCTACTATCTTTAAGCATACATTACGAATAACTCCACCATCTTCTCATATAAGAACAAGTAAATACGAAATACCTCGGTTAATCCAAGACAGAAATTAACTAGAATCAATCACATAAAATCCTAGAGATTTTGTTATGTTTTTTAGGTATTAAAAGCTTGCATTATGGATTTAATTGTTTGCTGTCCATGCAAACAAATCCTTTAGTATTAAAAATAACAACAACAAACCAATATATAAAATTGTTAACCTTGGGAATTGTAACATTGATATGAAATCCCAACTCTTTGTTGTTGTTTGGTTTCGTTTTTTATGCGTTAAAAAAGGACCAAGTAATATTATTTACATATTAAGACAACAAAAAAAGTCTTTTCTAAGAACTACAACGACTTCAATAAAAAGTATTATTATCAAAGATGTTCACCCCTCTTACATTAGAGCTAGAATGATAAATAGACATACTAATTAATCATATGCCTTATAGACCATCCTTAACACAAAGTTATGTTAACGCATGTTTCTCTATGCTGAGTACGTAATAGGACTAAAACAAATGGGTGAAACTCAAAATTCACAAATTATCCAAAAAGAAAACTTTAAGTTTACTAGTTCACTAAAACGTAATTATTTTGAAACACAAATAAAAACGAGCTTCATATTTAAAAAAATGTATAACATAACAACTTTTTCAAATTAAATCGTTATTTGTGTAGTGTAATTTTGTGGTTAAAGAATTAATTATGAAATAAATTTGTTATTCTATTCTTAGCAAATTTACATCCTTACTTTGAGCGAATTTCCCATATAGGGAATAAGCTATCACCGTAGTACTCAGGGTAACACCTGGACCCGGGACTGATTTATTTTTTCGTGTTGAGGTCCCTAGACGCCAAAAACACCATCCGTTTGAATTCATATATTGTATATATATTTATATACGTGTCCGTTAACCACGATAACTCAAGCCAAAATTATCTAATTATGATGAAATTTGGTATAAACTTGTAAAACTACGTTCATTTAAACGAGTCCGCTAACCAGCATGATTGGATAATGGAAACGGGGGTTTATGGGGGGTTTTATTGGGTAGAAATTGGTTTTTCCCATTTTGACGCTAAAAACATACAATTTTGCAATTTATTTCAAAACTATTTTGTAGAGCTTAAAAAAGCAAATAATTTAGTATACTGAAGTGTTATCATGTGCCTTATGGTTACGGAGAAAATTCCAAAATATTGTAAATTAAAAATCCCCATGTTATTCTTATAGAGGATAAGTAAACTGTTTTAATTTGCTTGTTTATGAACATATTTTGATCAATGTATCAATCAATGTATGATCAATGTATTTCATACTTAACTATTAACATTTCACCCACCAAACCTCCCCTGTTGCAGCAAACCTAATTACTCGTTAAACCAATTCAATTTAAATAGGAAATAAATAAATGTGATATTTTTAAGGTGATATTTTAGTATAAATCCAATCAGGCAAATGGAAATTTGCTTAATCTGCAGGTTTGCTGCGGTGGGGGTATTTTAAACTGTTATCAATTTTTACCAAGTGATATTTCAATGATTTATCAACATCATAAGAATTATTTCTGTTTAGAATCGACCATATTGACCTGGCCTTGACCAAATGATAAGCGACTCGCTCTGATTCTATCCAAGCTTAATTAAGTACGCGCTGTTAATGAAGTTTAAAATCTGTCTTTGGTAGTAATGTTATGGAGTTGAGCAGATTGAAAGTAACCATAAGACTTGACAAATGTATAACTCAATGTTTAACCCACATGAGTATAATAGTATAATTTCCCCATTTTACTATTTTATTAGGATTTGCTCTATTTAGTTACAAACTAAGGTTGTCGAGTCAGATCGTTCATCAGATAAGCATTAACGTAACGGAACAATGATTAATAGAAAACCATAGTTTAATCTAGAGCATATTATCCACAAAGTCAATAAAAAGTATATGAGTTTGCAAAGCCAAAGCTAACGTAAGCTCGCTCTAAATTGCAGAATGTAAAAGAAAAGCTGGAATATTTCTTTTTGAAGCCCGTTATTTGCAGTATGGCCATGTACCACAAAAGAGACCGACTTTAATATCTTCTTTAACCTTGCATCCATCACATTTAAATATGTTGCCCCTTTGCTCGACGTTATGTCTAAAATAAATATATAGCTTTTTACAGAAACCCTTTTAACAAAACATACTTAAAATTTATTTTTGTCACTTTTCTTAAAAAATAACAAAAAAGTATTCACACCTTAATTTATCTATCAGGTCTAGTGCAGTACAAAAATGGAGAAAAATATGAAATAGTTTGTTGCAAAATACTAAAACTGTATTTTTTTTATTAAACAATATACGTTATTTTATGTGAATGAAAAATGGAACCAAATAATAGACCTATTGGTGGACCAATTTATACAGGGTTTTCCGTAAAATTTCAGTAATTTATATTGTATGTTTCTGCTTATTATTAGTAACATTTTTACAATAAATTTTATAGTGGTAATAGGACAGTCAACCGTTTGGGGTATCATTGAAACACACGGTGAATGTTTGATTTTGACATCAAATATTTTCAAAATTAAATTTTAATTGAAGTAGGATATATCTAAAAAACTTTAAATCGTTTAGTTACAACCTAAACATAGTAATTGTCTTTGGTTGAAGAACGTGAATAAATTACACTTAATAATTATTAATCACAAAATCGTTATTTATGGATTTTAGTAATACTTTCTTTAAAGGTACAAATTCAATTGGATCCAAGTTGTTTAAAGTGTTTGATAACGCTGCATAACTATATGCAGTCGATAACCTTAACACACAGGCAAATATATTTCATAATACAGTAATGAAAAGAGTGTACCCACTAATTGCATAATGTACATTTAATGGAACACATACAGAGATTTGTAGCTAATTCAATCCATGGCTGATAATTGAGGTTTAAATAATTGTACTTATTTTTTTAGTTTAATTGGTTATTTATGACTTAGTGTTGATTATTGTAGTTGATTGTACCATATTCTTATTTAGGTATTTCAACATTCAACGTGTGTTCATAGTGGGTGTACAATGTTCTAAAGTTTGTTAATTATATTATTTTGTTTTTAGGAAATGATTAAAAAACAAACTTATTTAAACTCACAATTTTAGTATCATTTTCAAATGGGCTTAGTTATTCTGCATGACCCACATTATTTTCCTAGTGAATATGGATATAGTAAGTGGTGTAGGCTATATTTAGTCCCAGTGGTTCAGATAACACCATAAGCAGAAAATTTTGGTATATAGAAAACCACTGGTTTTGCAGATGAAGGGAACTTCCTTTAAAATAAAGATCTTCACTTCGTCAGTCAAAAGTCGTATTAAATTACTTATTTCTAACCAAAACTAAAAAACTTTACTAGTGAGTTCCCGTTTATAACATTTCTGAGAAGAATAAGGAGGAGAA